CTCTTACAAAATCTCAAGGATACAGGGGTTAACTCTTAACAATATTCTAAAAAGCCTAAAAGAAATCACATACCAAGTTTTAGAACAACCAGCCTAACTAAAACATAGTTTCTTTACTTAGGACTGAGAGTAGAGTTGGTTAATTTATAATGAACAGCATGAGGGTAATGGGCACCACCAACCCACATGCAGTCGAAAATATAACTTTCAACTCCCCAAAATCTTCAATCATCCCTTGGTCCATGGGGGACTGGCTCAGGACCCCACCCCTGCAGATAGCAGAATGCATGGATGCTCAAGTCCCTTATATAAAATGTCATAAAATGAGGTACACAGCTGACCCTCAGCACCAGCAGATTCCTCACCACGGGAGGAAAATACTGTTTTTCATCCAGGGTTGGCTAACTCCATGAATGCACAACCCAGGGAAACAATGTGCCCGCTGCATACTTATTGAAAAAAATCTATATATAAGTGGACCCACACTGTTCAAACCAGTATTGCTCAAGGGTCAACTATATATAAGTTCAATTAATTTTGAAAAATAGAGAACAAAACTAGGTGAAATCAGTTACAATATTAGGTATCAGGATGTAGTTTATTAAATAGAGATCCTCAAACTTTTCCTGATACAGTGCTTCTTATAATTTTTCCAGAGTTTTATGCTTTGGACGTAGAATTGTGAGCAAAAGAAAAGAGCTACATACTATGTGGACTTCTTTACATGAACCTGCCTGACGCTACGGAGAAGGCACATTTGGGAAAAAAATAGGTACAAATGAGTAGTCTGTCACAGAAAGTGATTTTGAATAAATCTTTTAATAAAAAATAAATACATTTATTTATCCCTAAAGAATTCATTTGTGTTTTATGGGTCATTATTTATACATAAGACTTTATTCATCTCTCAAGTTCACAAAATTCAGTGCCTCCATACTATTTCCTCATTAGCAAACATCTAGGAATACACTTTATGACTTAAATAAATTTATGTGGTCAGGCATTCACAAATCTGTATAGCAACTTCCTCCTCTAACTCAAGAATAGCTTGGGAAAAGTATTTAATTTTGACTCATAATTTGAAAAAAAATTCAAGATAGTGTTATGAAAAATGTGAAGGAAATTCACAACATAAATGCAAACATAAAAATGCAAACATAAAAAACCCTACTTGAAAACTTTCATGTTCTTGTTATCTGTAACTTTGTGCCTAATTCAATGTCTGGCACATTACACATTCAATAAACATGCATTCAAATGAACCAAAGAAAGCAAGATAGATGTATCTGGCACTGTGGAACTGTGGTTAGGTTGTTATCATGCCCAGCAGTTGGCCAAGGCAAGAGTGTAGGATATAGGATAGAGAAAAATCATGTCAGATTAGAGGGAGCCATGAGTAAGGTTCAAAAGTAATGAAACAGAAAAGGAAACTAATGAAATATTCATGCAGTAAAGAGACAAACAAAAAGAGGCCTATACTGATCAACCCCCTCATACAAACTCCTAGGATATGGGGATGGTACTGTACACAAGGATTCCATAGTGCACATTACCAATAGCTAACAGTTGTTAGCGACCAACTAAAAACTCAAGTGTACTGTATTAAAGGAAATTTCTCCTTATATTGAAATCAGTAATTTCAGAAATACTACAAGATTATATAAGACAGTATTTTCCAAAGTGTGATCCTTAAACCACATCCATCGGAATCCCTTGCATCATTTATTAAAATGCACGTTTAAATAAATCAGAATGGGAAACAGGCAAGAGAGACACTAGAATCTGCATTTCCAACAAGACCTTGGGCGATGCACGCTAAAGTTTAAGGCATTTGATATAAAATATCTTGAATTATATGCATAGTAAGGGAAATTGTTTATTTACCACTCCTAACTTTCTGCTCTTCCCATTATTTTCTTATTTCCTAAAGGTCTGTGTTCCTATACTCTCACCTTCATGAATTAGCCATTTTTCCTAGTTCTAACACAGTATTTGGAAGCTAATTTTCTATTCTCTTATACATAGCCCACCCCCAAATTCAAATACAGTACCTTTTCTGTATTGGAAATAATCTACTATGCTGAGGATATAAAATAAATTCTTATTTAAACAAATACCAAGCCAATTTGGTAACCAATTAACCATTTCATTTTTAATTCAAGTCTATTTGGATCTATAAAGTCAATATTATTAAACAATATTAGTCAAAGAAGTAAACCACATCTGAGATCTACTCACTGATAATACCTTGCCTACTTGAGTAATTTCTTTCAAGGTCATGTTGTAAGAGTCGACCAGGGAACGATGGTGTTTCTTTATTTAGCCTGAATTCAACCTAAAAAACAATTATTTAAAAAAACTGGATAAGAACTTAACAATTAGTAATAAAGATAATTATAAAATAACATACAATAACTGGCACACGCTGCAACATACAGATAAACCCTGAAAACATCATGCTAAGTGAAAGAATCCAGACACAAAATGCTAATATTGCATTATTCCATTTATGAAGTATCAAGAATAAGAAAATCTAGAGAGACAGAAAGCAGATTTGTGGCTTCCAGTGGGTTGGGGTAGGACTGCTTAATGGGTACATTAAGCTCTGGAAGTAGATAGTAGTGATGGCTGCACAACATTGTCAATGTATTTAATACCACTGATTTGTACAATCTGCAATGATTAAAATGATAAATTTTATGTTATGTGTATCTTGACACACACACACACACACACACACACACACACACACCCCGCCCCCGCCCAGTCAATTTCATGAGGTCAGATGAAACTGAGGCACTTCCAATTCCTCCATACCCTCACCACAAATACAATGCTTAAAAGAATCATTTTCTCAAAAACAAAAGCACAAAACATACAAAAACTAAATCCTGTTGGAAAAATCACTGTTTTTATCGTTAGAATTTAAGAGTCCAATTATAACATAAAAAAATAGTGTGCCTAAACCTTTTAAGGGATTTCTCTTTTAAATTATTTGATAGAACTGAAAAAAATAAAATTAAACTGCCTCTCATGATTAGCCACAAAAAACCCTAAATATGTATTTTTAAAAGTTATGATGCTTTTGATTCATCCATACTATAAACATTTTAATAGCATTTGCATTATCTTCTTATGAATTATATGAACTAAAGGTATTTTCTCAAAACATATGTCCACAAAAGGGAAAATGAATTGTTTGGAAAGAATTTGGATAAGGCACAGCATTCCTAGAAACACACTGTAATGCTGGAATATGATCTGTCCAGTGAAATCAATTAAGAAAGATTTGCAAGGAATCTATTATGTCCAATTACAATAAAGAATATTTTTATTTAATCCAGCTAACTTCTATTTATTCATGATGATCAAATGGTCTACTTTACAATTGTTCATTTTCATATACAAAATGTGGTCAACTACATTCTTGTCTCCTTGCTACAAGCTGCCTCCTTGACTTGTGTCCTGTCCACACCCTCCCCACGCCCCGACTTACCCTCCTCATGCTGTTATCTGTAAAGTCTGCCCTTCACTTTAGAGCTCCTCCAGTGACATCTATTTAACATTTTCTTCATTAAAAAAAAAAACTGAACTGGGGTGGTTTGAGGTGTACAACTCCATCAAAGGAGAAAAATTGTTCTGTGCCTTGAGACAACTGTGTGGCAGGTGGATACGTTTGAGTGCTGAGGTGTGACAGGAGGGAAAGAAAAACATATGTACCTCAAAAATCAAATGAGAAGCCAAAATTATGGAAATACCAGAGATATGGGAAAATTGTTTGGGGAAAAAAAAACGAATCTCATCTTCATATCTTAACTTCTAAATAGCATTAAGCCTAATTTATGTCCACTACTGATCTATTTTCCTCCCCTTATTTTAAATGGAATGTACGGATATGTTCCCCCCAAATTATTACTTTTTATCTATTATAAGATTCCATTAGTAGTAGGACACGCCATCATTTTACACATAGAAAAAACTTTCCCAACTAAATGACAATGACAATGTGCTATCAATTTTAGGAAGGATCCGGATTTAAGAAATGTGTAAATGTTAGAGAAAAATATCTTACCTTTAGCAATTGACGCAATAAGATTCTGTTGTTAAAAGAGGTTTTTTGTTTGTTTGTTTTACTTTATGTAGGAAGAAAATAAAAATTAGGTTTAAATTGGAGACTACAATAAATGCGCTTAAAATTTCCAGTTCACATTCTACACTTTAAATCATGCTGCTATTTCTTACTTTGTTTTTTTCAGGAAGAGACGATGTTTGAATAACCAGATGAAGCCCACAGTTCACCTGCAATGTAAAAATTAAACCATAAAACATTCTTAAACATGCACACATACACTCCTCCCCAAAATAGTACAAATAAAGATACAACAAACAGAATGCTTGCTTTTTGTTTGTCTCTGGTATTTGATCATGTTCTGAGAATTTGCTGAAAACAATAAAATCACAATTAAGAATTAAAGGTTTCACTGTGATTTATTTTCCAAAATGTCTGCAGCAATTTAACCCTCTACTTAGCACCTCAGGATTTTAACACTTGCCATTTCAGACTTAAGTAAATATCGCAATGGAACAGGTGAAAGGTAGGGGTGTCTGTTAATAATAAATTTTCTTAATTAAAAAAATTGACTCTAAGTTAAAGGAATGTAAATGAACCTTAGCCTTTCACAGAGCCCAGCTCGACCTTCTGGGAAGCCCAAATCTGGGTCAACGCTTTGAGTTGTAATATTAATACAATATTAATACCCTCAAAGTGCCTTGGTCCAGTCCACAAATGTCAAGCCTCGGTCGGACAATAGCTTAAGTAGGGTCAGCAGTCCTGGGCCCAATAATACATCACCCATGACAAAGACGCCAGACAGAAGGGACCACACGAATGGAAAGAAAGAACAAGTGGGAGACCCAACCTACGTTGTTCGTAGCCCGGCCAGAAACAGAGCGGTATTTCCCAGGAATCATGGCAGGAGACAGTCCAGAATCTGTTAGAAATGACGCTGCAGCAGAAATTCAGAGAGACCGAAAGGGGTCAAGTCCCAGGCAACCCGCTCACGGGTTACCATGGAAACACTGATTTCCGGTCTGGTCCTTTCCCAAATCAACTGGCCGAAACAACCTTTAGAGCATCTGGTTCTGTTGGGGGGGGGGGGGGGGGGCGGGGCCGAGGCTGGCCACTTCGGTAGCTATGACAACCACCACTTCCCGTCCGCGCCTATTTACGGCCCACCTCAGCTCGGTCCGCGCGAAATTTGTATCCTTCTGCGGCTGGCTTCGCTCTCGCGGAAGGGTTGCCGGGGGCGGAGGCAGAGGTCCGGGAGCCGGGGGCCCCCCCGCTCGACCTGGTGCTCCGTTCAGCCCTTCCGGTGGCCGAGATGGGAGAAGGAGACGGGCGGGGCGCGGCTCCGAGAGGCGCGCGGAGGGCGGCGGGCCGCGGCCCCCCTGCACCAAAGGCCGCCTCGGTGCCAGCCCGTGGCTTGGCCGCCCACAGAAGCACCACCACCACGTTCGGCAAGTCACGGTTGCTCTTCCCCAGGGACCAGGCCCTGCGGCTGCTGTGGGGCGGCTCCGTGGCGGGCAGCCGCGCCGCTCGGTACGGGCCCAGGGACCGCTCGGCGACCTGCTCTGACCACTTCGCTCCCGCCAGTTTTGACGTCTCTTCGGTGATCCAGAAGAACCTGCGTTTCTCCCAGGGCCTCAGTCTCGTGGCGGACACCGTGCCTACCTTGCACCTTGTGTCCTCTCCCGCACCTACGGAGGAACACGGGGGGAGACCTAGCGGGCGCCCCTTAAAAGCAAGGAGAGCCCCAGGCAGTCAGGCATTCGGAGGCCGCCCCGCGTCCAGCCTCCTGTACACCTCCGGGCCAGGAAGAGGTGCGGCTCCTCCTTTTACTGCCCCCGTGGGAAAGATTTCCGTTGTAAAATTGGAAGTGTGCTTTAAAGGTGTTCGCCAAGATCCTATTTAGCATTAACACTTTGGAATTGAAGTCCTACCCCAAAACCCACCAAACCAAACACTATTGTCCTTCAGATTATAAAGTCGCCTTCACCGCCGCTCCTGAGTTTTTAAATAGAAGTTTTATCTGAGCAAATCTCAAGGAATGGGGTGCTTGGAACTGTTTTTGCGAAACATTACGCAAGACCCAAGCTTGAGGAAATGTCAATTATACATGTCAAAATGGTGGGGGAAAGGGATTACTGGTAAACAATCCCTTCCCACTGATAAACTTTCCTTTGCCACTAGCTGCCTCCTAAACTGAATTTCCCCCCCATCTTACCAGCATCTGCCTGCTGTCTTTATCCTTATAAGCATTGATTACACTTATTTTGCATCTGGTCCCTACCATCTTCTTCTCCACTTCCATCTTGAAGACTTCCCAGCCTTCTTTGAGACAGTGCAACTTCAGCCCTATCACCATCACATAGGTTAAAGTATGACTCAGTTGGGTCTAAACGTTGTAGAAATTTATTTCTACAAATGGGCAGAGTTCACCCAAACCTAACTTGTATGTTTGATGGGTAGTAGACTTATCGGGGGACTACTTCATAAGTTATATAAATGTTTAATCACTATATTATACAACTGAAACCAATATAATATTGTGTGTCAAGTATAATTAAAGTCACTTGTGAGTGACATTTGACTTTGAATGTACAGAAGTATTCATAGAATTTTAGACCTGAAGGAAACCTTAGGGCTCATCTAATCCAAATTCACAATTTATGCATTCCAGGAGGCTAATAATTTCCTCAAAGGCCTATATTCCTTGCTCAACGTTTGATTGCTAGACCAAAACTCTGCAGTACCATCCTGCTCCTACATTGGCGTGGTTGCTAAAGACCCTTTAATAGTATCCTGTAATTATTGGGTTTGCCAAAAATTCATGTGGTTTTTTCCATAAAATGGCTCTAATAGCTTTAACTTCATTTGAAATAATTTTGTTAGATTGTATTGTGACAGCTGTCATAACAGCGTGCATTTAAAAAAAATAAAAATTGGTGAATTTTTGTGTATCCATTTTAATACTGAAGATGGAAGAAAATACATATTTTATCATATTATAATTTATTATTTCAAGAAAAATAAAAATGCAACTGAAACAAAAAAACTTGTTCAGTGTATGGAGAAGATGCTGTCAAATGTGTCAAAGTGGTTTGCAAAGCTTCATGCTAGTGATTTCTCACTGGACAATGCTCACTGGGCAGGTAGACCAGCTGAAGTTGATAGTGATCAAATGAAGACATTAACTGAGAACAATCCATGTGGGAGATAGCTGACATACTCAAAATATCCAGATCAATAAAGTTATTGGTGAAAATGAAAAATGTATCTTTTATTTTATGGAAAAAAACTGTATGGACTTTTTTATTAAGATAAAAGACAAAATTATTAACCTAATCTACAAATCCTTGTGTGCTTTTTGTCCCTGCCTATCATACCAGTTCTGCCCAAGGCCACTGTCTTTGTTGCTCACTATATACCAGTCTTGCTGATCTCCTCAACTATATAATACCCTGGGATGGTGCCCTCTCATTCCCCATGAGGGTCGCAGGATGATTCAGGTAGAATGACCCTCTGTCTCTCTGACCTTAGGTGTCCTGTGTCCCTCATCAGGCACAGTTGGCCACCCCGTGGAAGAAGCCCTTTCAGGTGAGGGGGTGTCAGGACATCCCTGGATTGATGTGGAGGTCCAGGCACTGGGAAGGCAACGACACAGGGGCTGGACTCCAGCTACCTGGGGACGTGGGCAAGATGACTGACGGCACTGTGTACAGTAGGGGTGAGATGGGAAAACTAAGGGGCGCAGGCAGAGGGACATCTGGCTATCTGATCCTGAATGCTCATCCTACAGGATGGAACACCATCATTGGGGAGGGCCAAGGGGGACAGGAAGGAGCGAGACACCCTGAGCTGTGTCAAAACATAGTGACTGGCCACCAACCAAGGGTGTTAATGTCCCAAGTGCTGCCTGTGTGCTGGAAAAAAAGAGGAGGAGTCCTTTTATTGAGTTACTTTATTCAAAAATTACTTACCAATTAAGTCCTTTTATTTAATTGCATCCTTCCCCTTTGATCCCTAATTAAATGCTCCTGTTTTTTATATATGTAATATGCTTCAATACCACTCATCACAATTGCCATGAAATAATTGTGTAGTTTGCTTAATGTTTGTCTCATATTAGAATGTAAGCTCCATGAGAACAGAGATCATATCTTATTTGTTCATTAGTGTATTGCAAGTATCTAGAACAATATTTTGCAAATTTAAGAAATTCAATAACTTTATAGAATTATTATGTGACTATAAGAACAATTTTTGTACTATAACAGAATTTTAAATTCTCTTGTCAGCTTCCCTTCTCACCAAGCTATATGCCATGCAAGACATCTGTCCTTACCTTGCCCTTTACCCAAGCACATTTATGTACATATGTACATAGATAAATATAAATATATAGTAAAAGAGATAAATATTAAACATATGTCACACACACGTACCATTTTTCTTCCCCATAATAATACTACCTAATCAAAAGTTGGGAGAGAAAGCCAAGCTAATGAAACAACCAAAGATTTTATAATATAACAAAAGCTGACTATTGAGAAATCCAAAGGAGATACCAAATTTATTTTTCAATTAATAAACATAGCCAACATTTCTAACAATCGATATTACATTAATATACTTGCAGAGTTATTAGGAAACTATAGATTTTAATAAAGGTTACTTTATATAAGGGTCTTAAAAAGGTTTATTTAGAGTTGATAGTAATAAATCTTTAGGTCGATCTGGATTGAGAACCCCAAAAACATTGCTAGAAGTTCCACCTCTGACTTCCACCTCCACTCACTGTTTTACTTGCCCATTCCAGAACCAGCTGGCTGTCATTCCACACCAGTGACTGAAGAGCTCTTGTAGACACTGTTCTGGGTTCTTGGTCCTAAATGTAGATAAATACACATATGAAAGTTGCCTATGTTTAGGAAGCTTAAGAAAAGGCTGGGCCACCTCCAAAGAAGGAAAAGGGGCTCTGAGGAGCACTATACAATGTGTGACATTTTGCTTCACAAAACTGTTATTATTGTTTTTCCTTAACTGTCAATTTTGCATCTTTGTTTTTTTATCCAACTATATTGCTTCACTGCTTAATTGAAGTATAGCAAATATACAGGTAAGTGCTCAAATCTTAAATCATTGGATTACCATATACTTAACAGATGTAACCAGTATGTACGTCAAAGAAACAACGTTACTAGCAACCCAGCCCCTTCCCCATTCCTCAGAGGAACCAAGTTTGCTCATTGTTTTTGTTGTTGTTATTGAACCTCATATAAGAAGAATCATACTGGAGGCATTTCTTGTGTCTGGCTTCTTTGTTCAACATTATATTTGTGAGATTTATCCGTACTGTTGCATATAGCAGTAATTTGTTTTTCATCATTATATAGCAGTCCAGTGAATGAATACACCAGAATTCTTTTATCTGTTTTACTGTTGTTGGACATTTGGATTGTTACCATTTTGAGGCTACTGTAAATAATATTGCTATAAATATTCTTAGGCATGTCTTTTTCATATGCATACAACTTCTGATGTTATATAACTAGAATTGTTGGGACATGCTATTATGTTAAATGGTAGTATGTAATACCAAAGAGTTTTTTAAAATACTTGTACCAATTTATGCTCTAGCAACATCTTATGAAAGTTTACATTGTTCCACATATCTACACTTGGATTGTCAGTCTTTCACATTTGAGTCCTTTTGTCCTGCTGGGTATAGTAGTGGTTTACTTTGCATTTCCCATTTTGTAAATGAAATTAGGAAGGGATCACCTTTTCGAATGTTAGTTGAACATTTGGATACCCTCTCTGGTGATATGCCTATATTTCTTTTGGATTGTCTTTTTCTTGTTGATTTAAAATTAATAGCCCTGGTTGGTGTGGCTAGGGGATTGATTGCCAGACTGCAAAGCAAAGGGCCACTGGTTTAATTCCCAGTCAGAGTACATGCCTGGGTTTGAAGGCCAGGTCCCTAGTAGGGGGCGCGTGAGAGGCAACCATGCATTGAAGTTTTTCTCCCTCTCTTTTTCCCTCCCTTCCCCTCTCTCTAAATAAATAAATAAATAAATAAAATCTTTTTTAAAAAGTTCTTAATAAATTTTGTCTCCAAGGACTTTGTAAATTAAATATATTTTAAATATCTTCTCTCACTGTGGCTTTCCTTTTTACTCTTAATAGTGTCTTTTGACATTCTGCAGTTCCTAATTTTAATGTACACCAACTAACCAATCTTTTTCTGTACTCTTAAAACATTCTACTATGATGTTTTCTACACATTTATTGTTTTTACATTTTATATTCAGATCTGTAACCCATTCAGAATTCATTTTCATGTATGATGTAAGGTAGGGTTTAAGTTTAATTTTTTTTCCCCATGTAGGCTTAGCATCTTTTATTGAGAAGACTAGCATTTCCTCATTGCCCTGCATCATCAACTTTGTCATGAATCAAGTTTATATACATAAGTCTGTTTCCATATTTTTTAATTCTGTTCCATTTATCAGTTTGCTTGTCCTTATACCACTATCACAGTGCCATAAGTACTATAGCTGATAGTAAGAATTAATATCCAGTTGATTAATTCTTCTCACTTTGTTCATCTTCATGGACATCTTGGCTATTTGGGGCCCTTTAATTTCCCATATATATATTTAAGAATAGGTGCATCAGTTTCCACAAATTATCCGCTAGAAGTTGGATAGGGGCTGCATTGAATTTATAAATGAATGTGGAGAGAGAACATTGATTCTTCCAGTCCATGATCACAGTGTAGCCCTCCATTTATTTGGGTTTTTACATTTCCCTTAAAAACATTTAATGGCATTTTACATAGAGATCTGATATACTTTTCATTAGATTTATTCTATTTAACTTTAGTAAAATATTTAGTTTTGCTATTTTCAATAGTATTTAAAATTATTTTCTAAATGTATGTAGATAAATTGACTTTTGTTGACCTTGTATCCAGAAATCTTGTTAAACTCATTAATTATTATTAAATTATTATTCAGTAATTTGCAGGTTCTTTTGGATTTCCTACATGTATAAAAATACCTTCAAATAGTTTATGATGTTTGTGCTTTTATTTATTATTCTTCCTGTTGCACTGGAACCTCCATTACTACAGTGTGTGGAAGAGACAAGGTGAAGGGGATTCGTCATTCCTATTTTCAGAGGAAAAGCCTTTAATATTTTACTATTTCATGAGATTTTTCTGTAGGTTATTTTTTAGCTGCTCTTTATCATAAAGAAACATTCTCTATTCCTAGTTTGTATACAAATTTAAATCATAAATGATGTGGAATTTTATCAAATGCTTTTTCTAAATCTATTAATGATCATATATTTTATTATCCTGTGAACCTTGAAAATAAAAATACATGGAAGGTCTTGTGGTGGCTAACTGGACTCAAATAAAAGATAAAATAAAATAAAATAAAATAAAATAAAATAAAATAAAATAAAATAAACAGAATCAAGGAGTCATTTCTGCACAGAGGCCTCTCACACAAACTGCACTTCCCAAAGAAGCTTCTGCTCCAGACGGCCTGCCCCTGCGCTGAACTGCCTGCCTGCCCTGTGTTCCTGCCCTCTGAGCCAGCCCTTATAAAGGAGCTCCTGGAGTCCTGTTTCAAACAGTGCTACAGAGGCTTTTCCCATCCAACTGGAGCTACACAGCTCTGACCAATCAGAGCAGCTCTAGTCTGACCAAGGTACAAGGGCAGGACTTCTGTCCATATAAGCCAGCACCCAGGTGGCACTTTCTATCTAAGACTGAAGGTTGTGTTTCCTAAGGGATTCTCCGTGGAGCAGATGGGCATGGAGCAGAACGGATCTGGTGGAGCCTGGAAGCTGGGCAGAGCTGAGGGCACCATCGTGGAGCTGCCTAGCTGAAGAGGGGCCCGGCGCAGGGGTAGCCTCATGAGGATGCTGTTCTCACAGGCATGCTGTAGCAGTATCCAGCTGTTCCCCAGCAGTGCTGTGCTCACAGTTATACTGTATTACTGTTGAGCTGTTAGCACTAAATAGTTTCCTTCTTCACACCCCAAATTGGGCATTCCTGCTAGCATTTGAATGGGTGCCAATGACCATGGGTTGATATTCTGTTAATGCAGTGAATTATGTTGTTTAGAAATACACAATCAAACTTGCCTGGCTGAAGTAACTCCAATTTGGCCAAGGTGTGTTATTCTTTTTATATATTGTTTAATTTGATTTGCTAATATTTTATTTAGGATTTTTGCTCCTGTGTTTGTGATCAAAATAGGATTCAGTATCAAATTTATGCTCATTTGGAATTGTTCCTACCTTTATCATCCTCTGGAAAAATTTTCTATAAATTGGCATCATGTATTCACTAATGAATTTAGTATTAATATTTGGTAGAATTCACTGATAATGGCATGTAGTCCTGGAGTTTTCCTTGTGGGAAGATTTGTAATGATGGATTAAATTTCTAGAATTTTCTGTTTGTTTTTATATTTTCATCAATTATATCTGTCTAGAAATTTGTCCATTTAAATTTTCAAATATGTTGACAAAATTGTTCATGATAATCTTTTTTTAAAAAAGATCTTATTTATTTA